GTTTATGCCAAATCCGCCTTTTCCAATATCAATGTTTCTGTTTTTGAGTTTTCCGCGTCGCTCCAACAACAATGTCGTCAGTTTCCGGAAGTCTCACCCCACCCTCAACCGTCAGGTCTTCTCGACTCCTCCCCTTCAGGACCTTAAAAGGAAGCACACCTGATAGAAGGCACCTGCCAGCCTAATCAGCTGTAAGCAGGAGGTGCAGCAGGGCCGTCACACTGTCCAAGTGAAAGAATAGGGTGAGCTAGGCAATTTTTTTTAATGAAAATAAGTTTTTTTCTGACTTTACTATTCTAAATTAATCCACTAATATGGCAAACTGACCCAAGATATTAAACATTTTGGTCATCTTCTAGCTGTGGATTAAATTAACAACTCTCATGGCAGTCATATTTTGTTAACTGTAGGACATAGTAGACTTGTAATTAAGCAAAGAAGAGAGTCTGGCTATGATAAATTGTTACAGTGGCATGTCCATCATTTCCAGCTGTCTCATGAGAAATGTCACAACCAAGTGAAAGAATAGACAGGTGCTGGCAGTGATCTTCACCTCTGTCACTGTGACTTTGCACAGAATCAATCCACTCAGCGTCTACTGACCTAATTACTCTTGTTACTTCTGTAATTACAATTCTCAGTAGGAGCGTAATTCTCTAACCCTCACTGTGCAGTATTGGCTTTTCACATTAGTACACAGTATTTTAGGTAGGTTTGTACACAAATCATCCTTCCAAGCAAGTGATTGTTCAACTTAACATGCCAGGAATTGGGATTACAAACACACCCAAAAAGAAAATTAAAGATACCGGTAGTTGCTTTCTTCTGCTCCACAATTTTGGARTTCATTTTGTTATGGATTAAAGCAATTATTTTCTAATATCAGTAATCAATCAATTATATTTATCTAAAAATGTGCTTAAAAAAGGACTATAACTGTAGGATATAATACAGTTTTTCATGACAATGTTTAAGAAATTCCTATGTAAACCTACTACTGACAGCAACTTAATTTCAAACAGGGACAGGGCGCACATGCCAATCATCTACGTTTTTCAGTGCAGTGTGCCTTTAACACAGTCAGGAGTCACAGAAAATTATATTTATGACTATACAGATGGCTATACACCATCTTGGTATGGGCTTAAACAATCTACAAAAAATGATATTGCAAAGCATTTAAAACTTGTTTAGCTCAAAAGAGAAGGATTTCGTGACATTTAATTATAATAAAAAAAGGATAATTATGAGAGTAAAAAACATTAAGGCAAAAAGAAACACCTACTGCAGGCAAGAAAGGACTCCTACAATAAATGTGTTAATCCTACAGATTGGTATACCTCTAATTTATGTCAACAGAATAGCTGAATAAAGCTTTTAATATTTAACCTTTAAAATAACTTGTGTTTATGGTCAAATCAAATAAAACTGAGTTTACTGATTGAATAGTTTCAACCTAAATAATGCAGTCTAATTATTGGTTTAAATGATGGATGGATGGATGGATGGATGGATGGTTGGATGGATGGATGGATGGATGGATGGATGGATGGATGGATGGATGGACTTATTCATCAAAGTTTTTTAAATCCTGTAATAAAAAAAATAATATTGTAATTATGACTGAATGAATCTTTATCTCTATAGAAAAACAGATGTTAGGTGTTCACTGGGACATTTTTAGTAGAAGTAAATGAAACAAGTGACAGTGCTTTCTAACCAGACCGTTTGTACTATGTTTTCAAGAACATTTAGTTTTATGAAGGTTGCTGGTAAGTGTCACAAATAGAAGTACTATCTTCTGTTGAAAATGAACAATTTTGAAAAACACCAAGTGTTGTTAAGTTCACTCACAATGTGAAAAGAGTCTAAGCAACCATTCCTAAGTTCGAGAATTTGGTTTAGTAATTGGACATCCTTCTGATTGATTATTTGATGAGATGTAGCTCTTCGCTAGACTGTGATAAATTAGTACAAAAATGACTGGTAGTCAAAAAAAATCAACAAGTATTCAAAGAGAAAACAAATTGCAATTAATGAAACCTTGATGTAGATGGTGTTTTACTGTATTGGACTTGTGTCAATGTTGATTTTTATGGTAACTGTTGAAGGATATTCTGCTAAAACATCTAAGCATCTTTAGCTTTCAAACCCTTTTGGCTTGTATGCACAATTTACTATGCTGTCTTTTAGTGTTCTTTATGCTCCCTCTGCTTTTCTTTTCATCTGTGTGAGTCTCTGTGCGTTAAGTGTGACATTATCTGGAACCATAGGCAGCCTAATCATGTCTCTTTTTTTATGAAACTCCTGCAGCTCACCCATCAAAGTCTGTTTATTTTTGTTTAATGTATTCAGAATATCAGAGATGAGCAGCAATTACCACAGCTATACTGATGCCGCTGAAGAAATCTTCCAATGATGTTTCATAAGATGCATGGTCAAACCTCATATCATATAATGGACTTTAACTTGAAACTTTAACTATTTTTTTTATTTTCTATGGTTAAGAAATCAAAAGGTAGAAAATATGAAATAGATGTAATAAGTTGAATACATTTGTATAGGTAATTAACAGTTTTACAATGCTTTTCTAATCAATATTATCCATTATCCATCCATACGTACATCCATAAATTTAGAGAAAGAATAGAAGAGCTGGAGAAGGGATATAAGAGGTAGAGGATGATGTGAAAATGACCACAAAATTCCTCCACAGCTCCTAGTTTTAGCCATATACCAACCATTCTCATACTTATCAGGATTTTTTACATCTAGTTACATATTTAGGTGGATATTACTTTTAACTGTAAAATAAAATTCTGCATCATTAATCAAAATCATTTAAAAAATAGGATGAACCCAATTGTCGTCACTTCCAAATTATGCACAAAACTGTATGAATAGGAATAATTCTAGAGCAGATCAGAATCTTGCATGACAACTTAGAGTTCATTAGTGTGCATGTGTATGTCAGTACATAAATCAGAAACCCTTTAAGTGCTCTTAATGTGAAGAGTCCTTGCTTCATTAACTTATAAAATCTGATAGGTTTTTTTTTGTCCAGTAACCTTCAGTGTAACTGTAATCTTTGCAATAAACACATTCAAATCAAATTGTACCCTTGTTTAATGTACGCTTCATTTAGACAGTTAGTCACACACACTGTGCCAAGGTGGCCAACAACTATTACTTAGTTACCTTTTCGAGAAAATTGTGGACTTTGACATTTTCATCTACAACATTTTTAAAATAATTACATTTTGTGGTAAGCAAATGTTAGTAATTTTATGCTTAGACAAGAAGAAAGAAATGTCAGGATATTAGTTTTTTTTTTCTTTTGCTTAAGATAATTTGGTTTCATTGGAGTTTACCTTAAATTGTGCTTTTATTTCTGTATGTGTGTGATTGTTTCAGACAAGTCATTTTGAATTTATTTAGTAACTGCATATCAGAAAGTGCTCATGTTAAAATGTTTTTCACTGTTGTGAGCTTTCTGCTGGTGCAACATATTAGTAAAATGCTCTTTTACTTTTGGTTTGACTYTTGTGTGCTTGCCTGGGAGTCTTTTTTATGATGGTGGCCTTCAGCTCCTTTGGGCTCCACTCTGGCCACTTATCTTTCCTCCACAGAGTCAGGCCTTATCTTTATCTTGACAGATGCCACAAAATGCATCGTGTAAGACTTTGACACTCCTTGCAATGGTTTAAACTAAAACACAACATTATAATGTGGRCATAGTGYTGCTTGTTTCAAMGCTAATTTTAATGGAGATTAAAAAAACAAGGACTTAGCAGGAAACTGTTATGTTTTACACAGAGACTTTAGGGAGACTTTCATGACCTAAGCATCTCTATAATCAAATTTTAGACTACACAAGTAGACACCCCAGACAAAGCAGCAGATATATTTAGCTGTATGTCAGCTCTCTTAGGTTTGCTGCACAAACTTTTTCTGTCTCAAAAAGTGACTAAAACATTTTCCATCTTGTTTCCCTCTTTGTGTGTGGCCTTCAGGTGGAGCGGATTGTGGACAAGAGGCGGAACAAGAAGGGTAAGTGGGAGTACCTGATAAGATGGAAAGGTTATGGAAGTAAAGAGGACACATGGGAACCAGAGCATCACCTGCTGCACTGTGAGGAATTCATTGACCGGTTCAACAGCTCAAGACGGCATTCACACAAACTACCCAAAGTCCAAAAACATCACGGGGAGCCCCTCATTGCTAACCAACCCTCTGTAACAGAAAACTCTAGGGCTCAGCCCGAGGCCCGGAAAAAGAAAAGGACTAGTGGCCCGCCTGTTGGGGTGAGAGTAGGATCTGTTCTGGGGATTGGAGGATCAGCACAAACACAGAAACAGAAGAAAGTAGTTGTTGGAGTTGGGAAACATGTTTTTGGGGACAGAATGAACAAAGCTGTGACATATAAGGCTCATTCAGCAAGTGGACCCCACTTTGTTCCCCCATTGAGGGTTCCTCAAAATGGACTCCAGAACGGAGAAAAGGAACCTCTTATTTACAGTGCAGAAGCGAGGTCACACAGACTGCCTTCAGACAGGGTGGATACAGAACTAGGACAAAAAGACACCACTGGACCACAATTCACCCCTGAACTAGGTAAGGTAATTCTAATCAATTGAAATGATGAGATCATGTGATGCTATATTTAGAAATATTGGTTTTGGAACAGGACAACTAGTCGGACTCATCTCGATGCACCACTCTGGCTCTGGAACCAGTCTCCTCGAGAGGGGTTGGACATTCTTCCACTCTGGAGTTGTCCATGCTGAGAGGTGCCGAGCAGGAGTGGGCATACTTATTGCATACTTATAATTTTGGATCCACTCCTCCAACATGTTKTTTTCTAACAGCCAATTTGAAGTCACGCTACAGCATCTCAGTTCGGTTTAGGTCAAAACTTGACATTTACAGATTTTTATTTTTTCAATATTACTTCTTTTTCAAGATTTTGAAGTGTTGGACCATATTCCTCACAGTATATTGTCTTAAGCGTTTCTTCAAAGTGGTATAGTTCTGTAAAAAAGCAAAGAAGCCTTTACTTTTAACTCATTCTCCACTGTTTCACACCTAGTTTCAGGTTTTAATCTTGCAAAGTTCCATTGCAAAGTTGTAGTGTTTTATCACTGTGGTTGTAAGGCACTGGGGACAGAATTGGCAGCGTATCCATAGCGCATTGCCTGTGCACACTGGCATGGCTTGGTTGTCAAGAATTTAAAGCAAAATTTGCCACGTTGACCTCTTCCTTGGCTATGACTGTGATCACGCCAAGGTCATTTAAACAGCTTATCACAGAAATAATATTTGTAACTGCTCACTGACACACCCTGAGAAAGTCATGCTAGGATGGGCATCTGGAGAACGTCTTCCAAATTAGTCTTTTTTTAATTAGTTAGAACAAGGATGAGTGACTAGCAGCCTGTGAGTGATTTCAGTCTGGCTTTTTACCAGAACCACAACCACACAGGAGTCCACACTCAAGGCGTCTTATGCCATTGCACTTCAGCTAACTAAAGTGTTTATTTTTTGTTAGCTTTAAACATTTGGTATTCATATTTATTAAGCAAGAATACCACTGTTACATGCATTTGCGCATGAAATATTAAGTTAGTTACTGCACTGTATGTTTGCTTAATAAACAAATTCATGCAACATAACATGCATATAACATCTATATACATAATTAAAATGGCAGTTTTATTACATTTGGGGAAGTGTGCAGTGCTATGTGGCCCTCTGGTAGTGTCAACAAAAAATGTGACCCCCTACAATCCTTTCAGTTGCCCATCCCTTGATAAGAACATAAGGTACTTGTCATCTAGTGTAAAGGGGCTATTATTCCTTTAACATGTTATTTTCAATAACATTTTGTTGTCATATCTTGATCAGCTGGTTGGTATCAAAGGCACAGTTTTATCATGGTTTAAATCTTATTTGACTAACAGGAGTTTTTTCTGTTCACCTTGGTGAATGTTCTTCTTCACCAGCTCCTCTGATTTGTGGGGTCCCCCAAGGGTCCATTTTAGGTCCACTTCTTTTAATCTTTACATGTTGCCTTTGGCGTCCGTTTTCAGAAAGTATAACATCACTTTTCACTGCTTTGCTGATGACATCCAAGTCTATATGTCCATTAAGTTGAACAGGGTCGCTCCACTGGAACCACTCTTCAGTTGTCTAAATGATATAAAAACCTGGCTAAAATTAAACTTTTTGAACCTAAATGAGAGTAAAACTGAGGTAATCAGTTTTGGTAAAGTTAATTCTGATGACATTGTCCCTTTATCTTCATACAGCGACTCTGTCAGGAATCTGGGTTTTCTCTTTGATGGTGTCTTTAATTTAGATAAACAGAGTAATTCCATTGTAAAATCAAGTTTTTTCCCAATTAAGACTGATTGCTTTGGTGAAACTGTATCTGCCTACTAAAGACCTTGAAAAGGTGATTCATGCTTTTATTACCACTCGTTTGGATTATTGTAATTCTTTGTATGCTGGTTTGGATAAATCATCTTTGCATTGCCTACAGACTGTCCAGAATGCAGCAGCTTGTCTTTTAACAGGTACTAAAAAGCATGAACACATAACCTCCTGGCTTCTCTCCATTGGCTTCCTGTTCACCTGTGAATTGGTTTTAAGATTTTACTGTTGGCTTTTAAAGTTTTTAGTGGTCTGGCCCCATCATATTTATGTGATCTTCTTAACATCTACACTCCAGTCAGAGCACTCAGGTCTACCAATCTTTTAGATGTTCCTAGATCCAAACTGAAATCTAGAGGTGATCAGGCTTTTGCAATAGCTGCTCCAAAGCTGTGGAACAGTTTACCTCTTAATATTCAGTCAGCTGAGACTGTTGAGGCTTTTAAATCTTTGCTGAAGACCCATCTCTTTTCTTTGGCCTTTGACTAAGATTGAGTTGGAGGTTCAATTAGAGCTTTTATGTATTATATTGTGTTTCTGTACAGTATTTGTATCTATGATTTTTTGTTTGTTTTTTGATACAACTCTTGACTGAACTGTAAAGCACTTTGGTCAGCTTTTGTTGTTTTAATGTGCTATATAAATAAATTTGACATTGACATTTAAAGTATTGCGTGAAAGACTTTTAGTGTGATACAGTGTTTTAGCTGTGGTGACACATTCTAGCTTGTAAGGGCTCTAACTGGGGATCTTTAGTGGAGAAGTGATATCACATTTGAATGTCACTCTTGGGTCACAGTCCAGGGTATGAACCACTTTCATTAATCATTACCTACACTATATTGCCAAAAGTATTTCCTCACCCATCCAAATTATTGGAATCAGGTGTTCCAATCACTTCCATGGCCATAGGTGTATAAAATTAAGCACCTAGACATGCAGACTGTTTTTACAAACACCTGTTAAAGAATGAGTCACTTTCAGGAGCTCAGTGAATTCCACATGTAAACTGATGGAGCAGGGTCGGTGGATGCTGAAGCGCATAGTGTGAAGAGGTCCTCAATTGTCTGCAAAGTCAATCACTACAGACATCCAAACTTCATGTGGCCTTCAGATTAGCTCAAGAACAGTGTGCAGAGAGCTTCATGGAATGGGTTTCCATGATCGAGCAGCTGCATCCAAGCCAYATATCCCCAAGCACAATGCAAAGTATTGGATGCAGTGGTGTAAAGCACACCGCCACTGGATTCTAGAGCAGTGGAGGCACATTCTCTGCAGTGACGAATCACACTTCTCCATCTGGTAATCTGATGGACAAGTCTGGGTTTGGCAGTTGCCAGGTAAACCATACTTGTCTGGCTGCATTGTGCCAAGTGTAAAGTTTGGTGGAGGGGGGATTCCGATGTAGGGTTGTGTATCAAGAGCTGGGCTTGGCCCCTTAATTCCAGTGAAAGGAACTCTGAATGCTTCACCATACCAAGACATTTCGGACAATTCCATGCTCCCAACTTTGTGGGAACAGTTTGGAGCTGGYCCCTTCCTCTTCCAACATGACTGTGCACAAGTGCACAAAGCAAGGTCCATAAAGACATGGATGGTAGAGTCTGGTGTGGATGAACTTGACTGGCCTGCACAAAGTCCTGACCTCAACAGAACAGGCCTTCTGTCCAACATCAGTATGTGACCTCACAAATGCGCTTCTGAAAGAATGGTCAAMAATCCCCAYWAACACWCTCCTAAACCTTGTGGACAGCCTTCCCTGAAGAGTTGAAGCTGTTCTAGCTGCAAAGGGTGGATCAGGAACGGGATGTCACTTAAGCTCATATGTGAGTCAAGGCAGGTGAGGGAATACTTTTGGCAATATYGTGTATGTTATGAATAAATCATCTTGAAATGTTTATTAGAAACTCAACAAATTTCTTTGATATTTTATTATTAGCAGCATGCATTGGATATTAGCAMTGTGGAGATGATCCATCTAAAATATAATTTCGTTCTTTTCTGGGTGCTAGAATGTTTTACAATTGCCACATTTTACAATGAATTGCATACTACATATAGTTGGGGGAAAGTATAGGTCTAATCTAAGAAAATTATAAAGTAGGGGCTACTATGTACTAAAACAGCCTCAGTGCATTTTAGCATGGTGTGATGAACCACACATTTATCCAAAGGTATTACCCTAATTGCTGCTGATTTTGCTGGGGGAGAGTTCTATCGGACAAATCAGTTCAGTTGAGTTGTGRTATGGCACCTGTTCATACAAAACACTTTGTTGTCCTTTGTATCTGCTCAATAGAAATTGCCATAGTAGAATAAACTATGCCTACTTGAAATGTCTCACTGTTGGATACAAATATCAACTTAAAACAACTTATTTTTTAATCTGTAAATCTYCACTCTAAGTGAACCCAAAGCATGACAACAAAACACACTCCTGCTGCTTAACACAGCCATCAGATAGCCTCACTGTAGGGTTGAGGGCTCAAATTTCTCATTTATTTATCAGCTGTGTGTAGGGTATAGGCTTTGTCAGATCTGGTTTACTATCAATTCTCATGTCATGTCACCACAGTCATWTGACTTTTTGATAACATTGTAACTGCATAAAGTTATTTCTTTGGCCAGATGTACCTCATAAGGAACAGATCAGAAAACTGCATTCACTCAATGATCAGGCATGCCAATTTGGTAATACTATACAAGAAAAATAATGTTCACATTGCTTCAGTGGATATGAACAATATTCTCACTTTGTTGTTGAATTAATAGTTAGACATAACKAATATAACTCTAAACTGTACTTGTGTCCTTTTTGCTAGTTTTCTATAAATATATGTGCATACACTTTAAAAGTGAGTAACTGATGAGTCCTATTCATAACTTTAGTCTATCACCATCTGTTGATAGGTACACCAGAATTTTAACTTGGACACATTCCTGTTAAAATCCCACATCCTGTCCGTCAGCTGTTCAGTCATATAGCACCATGCTGGGGAAGTATTGAGTCAGCCTAATGGCTAGTACTCTGGCAGCTATTATGAATCCTAATCTCCTAATCCTCAAAAGACTACTTCACTCAGCTCCCTCAGCTCCCACAACTTAATAACCTTTTATAGCAAGTGATCAGTATCAAATTGCAAGTATCTGGGTAACATTTACAAAAGTGTGTCAAATCTTATTTAACATCATGTGAAAGTGTTGTACTGTATCTGGTGGATTATTCTAGTGAAATATTGGGCCAACTGTCCAACAACAAAAATGTGGCCAAAGCTGAGTTGGGCATCTGTACAGTGATTCTAAACATAGCAAGAARTCTACAATAAAATGTCTAAAAATAAAAATAAATCCAGGTGTTACAATGGGTCAGTCAAGTCCATGCCTCAACTTAACTGAAATGCTGTAGCAGGATCTGAAGACATCTGTGCAGAAATGTATGTCTGCGAATAAAATGCCAATGGATAGGCTGTTTCAATTAAAAATGATCTAATATAAAATAAAACAGGTATGACTTGTTACTGATCCAATGCTTGTTTCAACACCTAAGATAAAGTTGAAACCAGAAGTTTACATACACTAARAAGATACATGAGTTTTTCCCCTCTGTCTGACGTGAAATCAGAATAAAATTTTCCCATTTTAAGTCAGTTAGGTTTACCWAAATGTTTTCTATTTGCTACGTGGCAGAATGAGAGACAGATTTTTTTAAGGATTTTTGTATTACTTTGCTATTTACAAACTCAAAAATGAACATTTACAAATTGTTTAAAGCACTTTATGACTGTCTCTTGAGGTAACAAATGTGCCAAGAAGCCACAGGAATTTAAAAAAACTACTGTTCATTAAAAATGCAATTTGATTYAGATGTCTTTTTTTCCTCCTAATTTTATCCTACAGTATACAGACTGTAAATGCATCAAAGTACAGGTTGTGGTGACAAAACTGAGCTTTCTTTGAGGGGCTTGTGTTATTGTTAGTCCCACAGCACGTCAAGATGTTCTCAGATAAGAAACACTTGTGTGCTGCAGAACTTTCAGCTCTTTCTTTTTTCTTTTCCCTCTTCCTCTCATCTAATTAAAGTCCACAACTGAGATTGTGCTTTGACACAATTTTTTTCAGTCCCTACAATTAAATAAAATCTACTTATAGATAAATGGCCCACAAGATCTTGCTTTGTTTTGAGGTTGATAAAAAAGGTATAAAATTACTGTTTAATATAGTTTTCATATTTTAAATCTGATAYAGCGAGATAATTCAGCTATAGTATGTCATGTCTTTGCAAGGTTTGAATATTAATGCAATCAAGCTGAAATTCCCTCAGCCTCACAGTGAAAGCTCTGATATCAAGCAGAGAAAATGCCCTCATTGCATTCAGAAACGATTCAGGTCTCTCCATGTTTTACATTATGTTCGGTTTATGTCTAAACCCTCAGTCCTTAAAGACAKATTTTATTAAACTTTGCAAATAAAAAAAGTGTAACATTTGACACTGACAAGCACAAACTTGGGATTATTTTGTAGATGGACCTTAAACAGTAAGCATTAAGCAGGTCATAGGAAAAGATGGAATCATCTGTCTTTTTGTAAACTTTAGAAAATAAATGAAGAAACTGAAGGAATGTCTAAAAAATATTTGTTTTGGGTTGTTTTTTATTTTTGGCTTTTCTGTTTTTAGCTTTTTAAACAATTAGATAAACACAAAATCTGTCTAATAGCTAAAGTTTCTAACAGTGCAGACAGTTTGATTTATGGAGAAGAAACCGGTGTCTCAGCCAGTTGTCTGAGACACCGTCCACTCCAAAATCAARTATAATGATTCCATAAATCAATACACAGTCTGTATTTTGCTACAGACATTAAAAACAAGCCAGTCAAGCTAGCTTCTAAAATCTTTACTTCCTGGTTGCGATAGTAATTTTGCAGTTCATCTGAAAATGGGCATGAAAACTAAAAAAAGGTACTTCCTGCTTCACCTGTTGTTTTACTTCACCAACATGTTTTAAGAAGAGAGCCTAATTTGCTAAAAAAAATTAAAAATAAAGTTCTTATAATAGTTTTGATCAAGTGAGTGGTTAAAAATGTTTAATTATTGCACAGTCACCAGGCTAAGACAAGCCAAACTGCAATAGAAAAAAATCTACTGAATATTTTTAAAAAATTATGGTACTGACAGGTTTTATATGAGCTTCACCAGTTGTCAGTCACAACAATTTGACAAGCTGTTCTGTCATCCTTTATTTATGTTAGGTTCCCCTCTARCCAATGGAAAGATGCATCTTCACAGCTCAGTAAAGAGGAAACTGGCTGAGGAGAAGGGCTACGTGTTTGACAAGCGGCTCAGGTACAACGTGCGACAGAACGAGAGCAACTGTCGATTCAGAGACATCGTGGTCCGAAAGGAAGAGGGCTTTACGCACGTCCTGCTCTCCAGCCAAACCACAGACAACAACGCTCTTACACCAGAGGTGAGAGCAAAAAAAAAACTACAAACACCCTTTTTTTCCTCTGTATTTCTTCAAGTTTGCTTGGCCGTTTCGATTCAGTAAGTAAGAATGACTCTGAGGGGCCCCATGTAAATTGACTGCATCACATTTGCCATGTAGATTCGTTTGGAAAGAATGAATCAAATTTCCCCAATTATTGCTGTAGAGACATGAGAGCCATCCAGTAACTGCTCCAAATGAGCCTTTCAGTAGCCGGTGGGGAAAAAGCCATAGCTTCATGTGACAGCTGCCTAAAATGACAGTGTCAGCTGCATGGAAGAAAAAAGGGCGTACTGCAGAAAAAGTGACACTTTCTTTCAAGCTGCCAAAGCGTCTTATTTGACATCAGGAATAAAGTAAATTTAATCCAGTAAAAAGATGATGCTGCACATTCATGGTGGAAACTAATGTGTAATTGCCTTTCAAGATAACTGCAAACCCTAGAGTAGATTTTCAATKATTCTGCTGCTTATTGTGTAACATTAATGCTGCTGCTTAAGATGGCAACAGTTCCAAGAAGCTCTCTGTGATCTTTGAGTTCTGGTTTAGTTTTTCTAACACCCACATTACGAAAATATTAGTCAACGTAAATGATGTCACCTGCTATAACACCGTGGCTTCTTTCGTACAGAATCTCTTTAAAAGAGTTGTGACTGACACCTTACACAAGAAAAAGTTGCTGATAAATGTTCAGTATGTTGCACTCTGAACAGGCTTTTATTATTTTTAGAAGCTCTTCTGATTAAGTCTGATCTACCAGCTGTGTCCTCTCTACAGTCATTTAGGATGCAAAATCTGTGCCAAGCTGTGTTCGCTGGCTTTCGCTGTGTGTTTCCTACTCTCCTCGGCAATTTGTTGACCGCCTGCTGACTCTCCGTTAGATAAATTCCTTCTTTAAAATTAGAATCCTGCAGAAAATGAAATGCCAGAAATAACTCTTTAACTTCAGCAGACACTAACTCAGATAAAAGGAAATTGTTTCAAAAGTGTGCTGTAAAACTATAGAGGTTTTCGTTTGAATGCAGCATGCTCTTTTACAGAATTGATTATGAATGAGTTGCAAACAACGTGTAGTGCCGGATGTCAGGTCATGACTCTCTGCTCAGCTGTTCATGAATGACGCTGATTTCCTTGTTGAATTGGCTGCCTGCAGGAATCAGCCTGTCTTTGATTGGATGCTCATTTCCACATTCCAATCAGAAACAACCCGATCCGATTACATTTTTTTGTTGGTGCGTTACATAACTTGCTTCCTTCAGCTGCATGACTGCAAAGTTTTTGATTATTTATATTCCAAATAGGTTCTTGGATATCCAACAACAATGCACCAAAAATCATTTTGCATAATTTAGTTGCCGTTATAAATCATTAAAGGTTTGAGATTTGAGGTTTGGGCTCCTTCTAGTGTGTTTATTACTAGAACTCTGGGTCGGCCACTGATAGCAGCAGCAAGGATCACAGTTACCTGCCTCTGGCTCAGAACTATAAGCAAACAGGATTTTCTGCTGCTCAGATGTTAGGCTGAGCCTCAGATCTTCCACAGAAGGCTGTTCTACCTTTGATACAGCATTGTGGGCAAGGCAGCCTGTACCTCACAAGAGCTCAAGTGGCCTAAACTGTGCGTACACGTGTGTGTACTTTCATGTGTGACAGTAAGCCTGAGAGATGTGGGCTTATCAAACAGCTTGGATACCTCTTTTTGTGTCTCTCGGGCTTTGAAGCTGCAGAAACAAGTGAGTCTACAGTGTGGATGAGCTTACTGAAAGGCTGCAGCTAAGAACATCTTAAAACATGATCCCACCGCATTTATTTGCAAGCACGACTTACACTATTTTTATTTATCCTACTACCTATTACAACTAACTGTGTTTTGTCAGAATTATTACAAAACCAACAAATACAAATGGGGGAAAAAATCTGTTAAAACCTAAACAGTTTTACATGAAATGTAGGTGTTGTGTGTGGCTACAGGTTAATACTTAGAAAGGAAATAAACAAGGCACAACAGATTATTATCTCATGAAAAAGTAATAAATAATCTGTGGCCGCATCTGCATACTGAGAGCCCACAAGCTACAGAATGTGGTTTTTTTTTTGTTTGTTTGTTTGTTTGTTTGTTTGTTTGTTTGTTTGTTTGTTTTAACCCTCTCTGTGGTTCAGAATGAGATTAGTATTAGTCCACACACATGCTGCTTGCCTCACACATAAAAATGCTCAACTTGGATTTCCAAGCTCTGGATCACAGGGGCAGTATCACACATCGAGTGAAAACAGATGRTGAACTAAATGGCATGAATCAATATCCTAAATTAAATATCATGGCTCATGAAATAGAACACAGTTCAGTCTCATGAACTAGTGGTTTTGTTCTAATACTCCAAACTATGTTGTATGTCACAGGCTGTACATGTCCTTAATTTTAACACATTTTATGCAGTGTTAGGTGATATATCAAATATACTCAACATATTGCCAT